GCCCTGTGCCCCCTCCTCCAGGCAGACCCCCAGCCCAGCCCTGTGCCCCCTCCTCCAGGCAGTCCCCCCAGCCCTGCCCTGCGCCCCCTCCTCCAGGCAGCCTCCTAAGCCGAGCCCACCTAGTGATGTCGGGCGCCCTGTGTCTGCCCAGGGGGCCGGGTCCTGGAGGTGGGCTTTGGCATGGCCATCGCAGCGTCGAAGGTGCAGGAGGCGCCCATTGATGAGCACTGGATCATCGAGTGTAATGACGGCGTCTTCCAGCGGCTCCAGGACTGGGCCCCGCGGCAGACACACAAGGTGCCCCTCTGCCCGCAGGCCCTCCAGGATCCCCACTCCTTGGGGTGAGGGCACTGCTTCCTGGGGGTTGGGGGCCTGGGGCTGCCAGAGATGGAGGAGATGGTCTTCTCTCTCGGGAGTCCCCCGGCCGCTCCCTTTCTGCAGGTGGGGAGATCCTGGGGACCTCTCTACCCTGTCCACTTTTTCTTTTCCCCTCTTCAAGGTCGTCCCCTTGAAAGGCCTGTGGGAGGATGTGGCGCCCACCCTGCCTGACGGTCACTTTGATGGTGAGGGGTGAGGGGACGTATCACAGGGTGGGCCTCCCAGCTCCACTGCAGCCCTTCCTTTGCTTGTGGGGGGCCCTCTGATGTGCACTGGGGGGACAGAGCCCAGGTGGGTGTGGGCCTGGCTGTGAGGGCTGGCAGGGCACTGGGGATGGGCATGCTCACGGAGGAGCCCTGGAGGCAATCTTGGAGTTCTCAAGCCCACGTGGGAGCCCCACCTCTGTCCACGGCCCCGTCTCACTGCACCTCCACCTGCTCGGGGATGAGCAGGGTGAGGCTGGGCGAGGTAATGAACCCGGCCATGACTGCGTGGGCTTCTGTCCTCCATGCAGGGATCCTGTACGACACGTACCCACTCTCGGAGGAAACCTGGCACACACACCAGTTCAACTTCATCAAGGTGATTCTGACTTGCTGGGATGCTGGAGGCCCTCGGGGAAGCCCCTCTGCCCACACCCCCACCTCCGTTCTGACCACTGGCCACTCCCCTTCCACAGAACCACGCCTTTCGTCTGCTAAAGCCGGGGGGTGTCCTCACCTACTGCAACCTCACCTCCTGGGGGGAGCTGATGAAGTCCAAGTACTCAGACATCACCACCATGTTTGAGGTGCGCCCACCTGGAGTTCCCTGTGGGTCTTCAGGCAGTGACCTTGGGTGGGGGTGGGAAGGGACTGCTGGAGCCACCTTGCTACCTGGGGAGGGTCCCTTCCTGACCCCCTGGGTGGGCTGGACTGTGCTGGTTCATTTAGAAACCAAAGTCCTTTGCCTGGCGCGGCAGCTGCCAGGAGTGGTGGCTCAGGTCTGTAATCTCAGCACTGTGGGAGGCTGAGGTGGGCAGATTGCTTGAGCCTAGGAGTTCAAGACCAGCCTGGGCAACAGAGCAAGACCTCATCTTTACTAAAAAAATACAAAAAACTAGCTGGGTGTGCTGGTGTGCACCTGTACTCCCAGCTACTTGGGAGGCTGAGGTAGGAGGGTTGCTTGAGCCCAGGAGGCAGAGGTTGCAGTGAGCCAAGATCGAACCACTGCACACCAGCATGGGCAACAGAGCCAGACCCTGTCTCAAGAAAAAAAAAAAAAAAAAAAAAAAAAAGAAATCAGGCTGGGCATGGTGGCTCACACCTGTGATCCCAGCACTTCAGAAGGCCAAGGCGGGTGGATCACTTGAGCTCAGGAGTTTGAGCCTAGCCTAGCCAACATGGCAGAATCCCGTCTCTACCAAAAATACAAGCTAGCCAGGCGTGGTAGTGGGCGCCTGTAATCCCAGCTACTCGGGAGGCTGAGGCATGAGAATCACTTGAACCTAGGAGGCAGAGGCTGCTGTGAGCCGAGATCGCACCATTGCACTACAGCCTGGGCGACAGACCCAGACTCCATCTCAAAAAAACAAAAACAAAATAGAAATCAGAGTCCCTCACCAGCTCAACAACCTCCCATGGCTCCCCAGTGCCCTGTGGTTCGGCCCAAGCCCCTCGTGTTCCCCTCTCTCTAGCCGCCTCCACCTGGCTGTCTTCGCTGGTTCAGTAGTGTTTGTCTGGCTGTTCCCTCTGCCGGGTGGAGGCGGCCTGTCTGAGAAGGGCTCTATGTGGTTGCCCTGGGCCGCTGTTGTGAGAGCCGGCTGGGTGCCTGTGGCCCTTGGGGCAGTTTTTCTTCGAAAATGGGAACTAATGGCCTGTCTTCTTTTTCTGTCGTGATTCTTTGGCTCCATCCGCCATACTGGCAAGGTCTGGAAAACTGTGGAGTAGGTGCCCCGGGGATGGCTTGAGCCCGGTGATGCTGGTGTGGGGCTGGGGTTCCAGGACAGCCCGGCAGCTGCTGCCGCCACTGGGGAGCTGGAGATTCCCATTCGCACCTGGGCTTCCAGGGCTGCCCTACCACATGCCTCACGGCAGCTGCAGCCGCCCAGCCGGGCCTTGCCATTTGTAAACACTCTTCAATGAGGGGAGGGTGCATGTGACCCCCATGGCCCTCAGAGGTGACCTGGCACCATCCCCGACCAGGAGACACAGGTGCCTGCGCTGCTGGAGGCCGGCTTCCGGAGGGAGAACATCCGTACCGAGGTGATGGCGCTGGTCCCACCGGCCGACTGCCGCTACTACGCCTTCCCGCAGATGATCACGCCCCTGGTCACCAAGGGATGAGCCCCCACCCCGGCCCGGGCACACCTGTGCCCTCCTCCGTGCCTTCCTGGCCGGGAGTCTAGGCTCTCCCGCCAGCCCCGGGCTGATCCCAGCTGTGTCACCAGCAGCTTTCCCAGCTTCTCTGTGAGGGGTCACACTGCCCGCTGCCGCTGCCGGGTCTCTGAGGTGAAGTAAACACCGGCGCTGGCTTGGGTGGTCTGTCCACAGTGAGTGTTGTGACTGTTCCTTCCAGCGGCTGCTCCCTCACCTCCCGCCCATCCCACGGACACAGGAAAAGCGGGTGACTCCCCTCCAGGTTTCTGAGCGGCCCCAGGATCCCCCCACCCCGCACTGTCTTGCCCATGGCAGACATCTCCAGCCGATGCCAGATGTCCCTTCCTCAGACGAAAGCCACTTGACCCTTTACAGTGGGGTCAGGGTCTCAGAGGGTGGCAGCGTCATGGCCGAGTGAGACAAGGACCCTTGCCCACCCCAGGCAGGAGCCCGCTTCTCTGCCCGCCCTGGCACACCCTGAGCTCCCTCCTCCTGCCTCAGGAGCGGCGTGGCTGCTGACAGCCCCGTGCCCCGAGCCTCCCATTTCCAGATGTTGTTTCCTCTCGGGAGGCATCAACCCCGCTGGGCCCAGTGCAGGGGTAGCCCCACCTGCCCAACCCCAGGAACATCCCGGGTCCTGCCTGTCCGTGCCCTTGTGCCCAGCTGGTCACCCCATGCCTCCCGCTTTGCCCCCTGCGTCCACGCGCATGCAGCCCGCCCATCTTCCTGGGGCCGTCCTGCCCGCCTTCTCCACTGACCTCTGTGCCCTGAGAGAAGGCCGGCTCCTGTGCTCTGCACTCCGGCCCGGGACTGCCGTTCCGCTGGCAGATGCCCCGTCCCCACCCCCGCATGTCCTGCCTCCAGGCTGGGCGCCTGCTCCCCACCCCCGCCCCCGTCTCCTGGGACCCATCCCAGCCTGGCCTGTCACAACTGCCGGTTCCCAGCACTGTCCTGCTGTGCAGCACGCATGCAGGGTGGGCCTGCAGAGCGGGGTCTCCAGCACCGGTGGCGTCTGGCGCTGAACACAGGAAGACGGGACGTTTGTTGAATGAATGCACGTCCCTGGTGAGGACTGGACTTCGACGGATGAAGGGGCTGGTGGGGTGAAGCCAGGGTCCCCCGAAAGCCCTGGGTGGAGAGGGTCCCCAAAGTGGGGTCAGACAGCCAGTGAGGCTCACAGCCCTGCCCTGCAGCCCTTTGGTGTGGACCAGGTGCCACCTCCCCATCTCCCTGGCCTCAGCCCGCAGCTAACCAGCCCATCCCACTGCCTGGAAATGGGCCAGAGGGCAGTGGCGACCTGCCCAAGTTCACACGCAGGCCACAGGCCACACTCTGAACCCCGGGGCAGGCTCAGACGGGCTCTGCTCAGCCTGCCTTAAGGCACAGTGGGAGACTGAGTCAGGGCCCTCCCAGGAGGGAAGGGTGCGGGGCCTTCCATGCTCGGGACTTTGGGCCGCAACATCCACACCAGGGTCTTCACAGAGCAGCAGGAAAGGACCTGCTGGCAGGCACAGTGCCCGTCCCTGCCCCTGGCTCTGCTCCAACCACCCTCAACCCAAGGGCGGCACGCTGCTGGGGGTCTGTGGTCCCCCCAGGTCCCCAGCTCCTTTCACCCACACACCACACGGGGAGGCAGCGGCCTGAGGGCAAATTTATTGACAACCTCACGGGACAAAAGCAGGCTGGGGACAGGACGGCGACAGGCTCCGGTGGCAGTGGCGGCACTACCTGCGGTACCAGATCTGCACCTTCCGCTCCCGCTTGATCTTCCTCTGCAGCTGCAGGATGCCGTAGAGCAGGGCCTCGGCCGTGGGTGGGCAGCCTGCAGGGACCTTGCCTCAGTCTCCCTTCCCGCAGCCAGAGCCTGCCTGACCACGTGCACAGCGCAGCCGGCTCGACTTTTGAGGGGCCTCCCGTGCCGGCCTGAAGGTAGAGGCTGGCAGCCCA